ATGTAAATTGGTGAATGAATGCAGTGATGAATCATAAGAAATATTCTAAGCATTTAAATATATTAAATGCTTAGAAAAAAATAAAATTATCAATTCGAATGGTTGTACAAAATGCTAATTCCTTTACGTAATTATTAATTATAACGTAATAGTTATCATCTAATTATTAGCTCATAATTAGTTATTATTTTTAAATCATTAATACTTTTTCTTGTTATTTATCGTCTATTTATTCAATGGTTATCGTTTACATTACACACTTTCTACAATACAATTATATCTTTTTTCTTTGTTTTTTTTTTTTAATTTATAAATATTTTAATTAATATGATAAAATTTATTGTAAATTCATAGATTATCGAAGGACGAGGATTAAGAATGCCAGAAAAGCAAAAAGCATTTACGGAAGAAATGTATTGTGTATTGGAAGTAAATGAAACACATCGTGCAAGGACAGGTGTTTCAACAGCTGAGCAAAAATTTCGATGGCGTGAAACATTTGAAATTGATGTACAACATGCTACACATACAAATTTTTTCGTGTATTCTTGGCATCCACGATATAGGTAAAATTTATTTAAATTTAATTAAAATCTAGTTTTGAAATAAAAAGAGAGTGAGGAAAAAAAGAAGTGAGAAATGAGAAAGGAATGATGAAAGTTAATTTTTATTTATTGATGCATAAATTAATTTAACTCAAATACTTAAGCTAATTATCAGTGATATTATTTAGGCATAAATTATGTCATAAAGGATCATTGAAGCTATTGGAAGCATTTGTAGTGGATCGTTTGAATGGAAATAGAATGTTTGCATTAAATTTGGAACCAAAAGGTCAATTAATTGTTAAAATTGCTTTTCATAGTGTTGCTGTAGCATTTCGACGAATTGTTAATTGCAGGTTTGTCTTTCTTTCTATTTATTAAAATTATAATTATTTCAGTTTTGAATTTTCTTCAAGAATTAAAAGCTTAATTTTTTACCAACTGAATAACAATCTGTTTATAAATTGAAAATTTTCCTGCAGGTATGATGGATTATTTGGAATACCTTTGCAACGATTAGTTGCAAGAGAAGGACGTGAAACACCTCTGGTACTTTCACGTCTTTTACAAGAAATTGAACATCGTGGTGTTGATTATTCTGGTCTTTATATACGTATGTTTATTAATTTTTCTAACAAATAATTTTAAAATTTTTAAATTCACAAATTAAAAAAAATGTAATTATGCATAAATCAATATATAATATGGAATATATTGGAAAAAATTTTTTTCTTTTAAATTTAAAAATATTGCTTATTTATAGTTAAGATATTGCAGTATGTGGATCACTGGAGAAGAAACGTATGTTACGTGAAGAGTTGGAAATAAATGTGGAACGAGCACGATTAAACGTGGAAGCAGTTCCAGATACTAATGTATTAGCATGTTTGGTGAAGGATTTTTTACGTGAGTTACCGGAGCCCTTAATATCAACATCAATTTATAACATGATTGTGGAAGCATTTTCCGTTGCATTACCTAATGATCCACGGGGGAATCGTCGTTTGTTACTTAGAGTTATCGATTGTTTACCTGCAGCAAATAAGGTATATTTCAAATTTAATTTTCGATTTTCATTGCTGTTATTATTGTTATTGTTTAAATATTTATTCCAAATTTGGATTTATATTGTTTAAAATGCTGCAAATATATTTATTATCATATAATTCATCTTGTTAAATTTTTCATTTTGATATAGAATTAATGAGAATCTTTGACGAAAAAAATATATGACAATCGTATTCATTTTTGTTAAATTTGATCCGAAATGTAATATTATCAGTTAGCTAATTAATACTAATTAAAAAATACTAATTAATTATCATTATTTTTTTCTTTTTTTTTACAGAATACATTGATACAAATAATGGATCATTTAAAAATGGTGATGAGTTCGGAACAACATAATGGTATCACTGCTGCACGTTTAACGGATATCTTTGGTTGTTTACTTTTCTGTTCATGTAATGGAACAATGGAAAATAGTAGTACTGAAGATAGTAGTGGTATTTATCAATCAAAAACTATTATCAATCCATTAGATACAGATCAAGCAGCTCGAACACTTCGTTCATTAATTGATATATGGCCAAGTCGAGTTAGTAAGTCTAACTTATCATTTACTTTTTGTCCTCTTCTTAAACATAATAATCATTTTTATTTTAACACTTGTTATAAATGTAATTAATGTCTTTCTTTCTTTACCTTTTTATTTTTATTAAAATCAACTTTTAATTTTGAAAAAGAATTAATTTATCAAAAAAAAATTCGAGTTTCGAATTAAACAAAATAAATTTATAAAAGATCGGATTGAAATTAAATTTGTTTTTGAATTTAAAAAAAAGTAGAGAAGTTTTTAGACTAAATTTTTTTCAACTCTTTCTAAGAGTGAAAGTATTCTTTGAAATGATTTATTGTATTATTTGTTTGACATCTTTTTTTTTTCTTTTGTATATATCGTATCTAATGTATATGATACATTTTGATTTTCCTTAACACTAGATTTTTTATTTTTCTTTTCATTCAAAATTTTTGCAGATGGCAGCGAAAGTAGTAGTTCCGGTTCAGTCAGCAATAGTACAGATGTGACAAATACGATAAATCCGGTATCAGAATCTCAATGTTGATTAGGAACATATGCTTTATTACTTAGCAGTACCTCATTCAAATTATTAGTATAATAATCGCTACTATACCAATTTGATACTACTATTACTATAATAATACTATTTCATATATTACGATAATTACAATTATTTTCTATTACAATACTACCACTACTATTACGGTGAATGCTAACTGTTTATTATTATTACTATTATTATTGTTCTTATTATTATTACTATTATCATTATTACTATTATTATTACCATTATTATTATTATTATTATTATTATTATTATTACTATTATTGTTATTATTATTATTATTATTATTATTATTATTATTATTATTATTATTATTATTATTATTATTATTATTATTATTATTATTATTATTATTATTATTATTATTATTATTATTAT